GGGGCAAGGGGGGGCGGGGGGAGGGGAGGGTATATTCCTCGGTGATCCGTCAGTGGAGGTGTGAAGATGATCCCTTTTCTGACAGTACTTGTTGAGGGAGTAGTACTTGTTTGCAAATGTTTCTGTCTCAGGAAGGGGACAAATCGAAGAATTCAGGGGCTATGAAGGCACATCGGCGAGTGAAAAAGCAACGATCACAAAGACTTCGAGAATGAACACGCACTGCTCACCTGAGCAGCATCGAATACACGAGACAAATATCCAATTTTGCATGCAAAAACGCTAACAATTCGACTATGACCCAACGAACATCGCATTGACGGCGAAAAAACGTGGGATCAGTAAGAGGAATATACGATGAGCAGGATATATACTGAAGATTAAGTCAGAACGTAGCGTGTGTTTCATCCCTAAGCTGTAAACACAGACAGAGCAGCGCGCGCGACCGACACTGCGAGTGATCAGCACAGCCTCGCACCCGCCACTGCAGCGGAAATAAGCTTATTTCCACCCCGTTTCGCACCATTTTAGTCGTCTGTGTTTGCAGTTCAGGGATGAAACACAGACGTTACCTAATGCAAGTAGCGGCTAGCTTAAATGAGGTTGCATAATTTGGCTTCATCACCAATATCAAATAAACAAAGTCGACTGTCCTATTCCTTTTACCTCTTGTCGCTGCACTCTACCAGCAGCAGTGCAACACTTTCCAATACTTATTGTGATGGACCAGAGGAGAGCAGAAGGACGCATGCTCGCTGCTCCACTGGTAGCCCAGTATCCTGCATTTCGAAGTGCAAAATTAGTTATTTGTCCCGTACAGCGGGCAATGCATAAGCGAGCAGTGTGCGTATATTCCGAGCTGTTGCTCAGCCGTTATACCCTATCTTCGGCCACTTTTTTTCCTCTTTTTTACAGGCAGGAAAGGCAAGTTCAACGTTGATCGAAGCTTTGATTCATGGAAAGCGGCTTTTTTTTTTCAATTTACCGTTGTATGCTTGCAACTGGCTATTAACATGTCCAGAAGCAGTAGCATTCGTTCAGGAATAACATCTGCGTAGCAGAACACATCG